CGGTGTTTTCACATACTCGCTGCATGACACGTCCTCCACACTGGTTACAACTACCAGTACTTGAAAAGTTCTGAGGTAAAAGAATCGTTTTAACTTTTTTCTCAGCTTGTTTGTTGGGTTTTCGATCCAGCCTGGCCCATAGGTAGGGTTGCCCTAGAGTTTCCAGGGGGATAAAACCAGCAGTTCACTGAGGGAACCATACCCTGCCGAGTACTGAAATCAACTACAGAAAAGGCAACATAGGAATTCTCATTTGCCATTAGAGACATTTTATATCCAAAGATACTATCTCAATTACTAAATTAACTACTTGATATGAATCTAAAAGATCTATTTGTAGAATTGTGCCCAGTTCAATACAAAGTTTCCTTACAATTTCTGGTAAAGGCACGGAGCCCGATGCTGCAATGAACCACAGTCTTCTTATTTCTTCCCACCTCCATACTTCTTTTAATCCTTCCCAAAGAGTTTAGGCACCCTTTACTACACAACTTCTATTGTGCAAGGAAGAATTAGGAATAGGAAATTTTAAAACTGGAATAGGTCCTTGATTGGCATGTTCACTTAAATGGCATGTTCACTTAAACCATACTTCATGTATTTTCCAGAGTAAAATCTAGAACAATTTTACTAACACCTCCTCTGTTTACAGTAACTACTACTTCTATGGTCAAGACGTTTAATGAGAGTTGAATTCACAACAGCTGTAATCCAATAAATCATACAATAAAACTGAAAACAGAAGTGTTCCTCTCCAAGTCCCTGCTGTCACTCAGTGCTGTAAATGTGACTCCATTCCTGGGGATAACAGGGCACCTTAACTATTTTCCAGGACTGAAATTTCATTTCCCTGCCAAGGTATTTTTTGTTCCAAGGCAGCCTAGGACCTGAATGGGAACAGAGGAGTTAATCAGGGACACAAGTGTGCACCATTCTTTCTGCTTTAGCTGTGGCAGCCTCTGACATCATGGAAGCAACGAAAAGCAAGGAAGCCCAGCAATGTAAGCAGGTAACAGCTAAGAGTGTACTAACAGGAAGCAGCAAGGTTCTCCATCCAAAGAAGGATATAGTAAGAAACACATCGGGCATAAAGATTTTGGTGAAAAAAAGTCAAAGAATAAAGTTTGTCTTTGTGGTATCAAAGATTTGTTTCCAAGACCACAGGCAAGAAGTTGAGTATTATTTAGGCCCTGCCAAATGGGTTTGTTCCATTTCACATTCAAGTAACACCAGAATGGGAGATACTTTGAAATGCTACAGTTTTCCATACTCGGAAGCAATGGCGAGAAAGGATGATGTTCAAGCTGGACAGGTCCCATAGCGCCATCACGCTGATGTCACCAGCTGGAGGCGTGGTTGGGAACCGCGGAAGCCTGTTATTCTATACCGCTACCAAGTGCCTTTGTTGGTCCAGCAAACCCGGAGAAGGTACATCCTTCTTCATTTAAGTGTATTTCTCTGTCAGCTCGAGTTTTCTTTCAAAAAAGCAGCAGAGCTCTGATTCTGACGGTCCAGTTTTTGAAAGAAAACTCCTGCTTTCAGGATAAGATTACGATTTGCCTGACTGTTGGTAGCTTTACTATTTTAATGTCTGTTCTGCTGGTATTCAGAGAGCAGAGAAGCACAAGAGGGCAAAATGGCCACAGCTGGGAATGCCTGGTGCTTCCATTCCCATTCCCCCGATGCACAGGTAAATGCTGTAGATTTGAGAGTGGTTTGCAGCCTTGATTTTCTTATCTATCCATGCTGAAAGGGAGGTTTAATCTGTAGTTAGAAGCTGATATGTCACCTTGTCTGAGTCATGGCCGATGCAGATCAAACATCTGATTATCGGAAGTGGTGAGAAAAGCTAATGATCATCTGAACTATGCACAATTTCTCCTGTGAATGGGGTTCAGATACTCATGGAACACATAAGTTAAAAATTGCAAATAAAGATCACTCATCACTTTCTTACTGAATCAACAGGATCTTGATCTTGAATAAACAGGCCACGTTTATAATTCCTGCCTATAGTGAGTACCTGCATTTGTGCAGTTCATATCCAGGATAGAAACCTGAGTGTGTCACCGCAATACTGTTATACATTGATTACTGTATCATCTCCCCCATTAATTAACACCAAACAGTTTTAGAAGAGATTCACATCTAAGGCAGCCATGAAGGGATGGGAATCTCGTGTGACTTCACCACAGTGTCGTTTTCCTCACGAGGGTTCCAGGTGCAGATTCAGTCACTGTGAAAAACCTCTTGGCTGTGATACATTATGTGCACATTATGGAGACAGGGGAGATGTTCCCATCTGTTTTGCAGACTTAGAGAGATGGAAATACAGGTAAAAAGGAGCAAGTCCCTTCAAACACATTTTTTAGTCTGAAAACAAAAGTGACTTCCTTCTGCTGAGTTGATGCTTCCAATGGGAATTGGAACAAAAGACTATTTTCCTTGATTTTAAGTTCCAGTCTGACAAGTCAGCCTGTACAAGGATTATGCGTTCCCACATTTTTAGTTATTCAGGTTTTGTCGGGAATCTTTTTGGGCTTTGTTTCTTAGTCCTTATTTTCCCATAGACCCACGTCCTTCAATAGTAAGGCAGTACTAGTGTAAGATTTGCACTTGTACAGCAGATTTCATTTGAGATTGACCAGATTGTGCCATCATGCAGGAAAGCAAACAGCCACGTCAATTAAGTGAATAATAAGGTTTTTGTCTTCCCAGCATCTCATGAGTCTGCAGTACAGGAAGTACACTGCTTTACTCCTAGTCTTACCTAGGAACAGTTTTACATCAGGAAAGCTCCATTGATCTAACTCAAGAGAACTTTAGAGCTATCTGGAGCTTAAGGGAACTTTAAAGATAACTTTAAATGTTCTAAAATATCAGAATGTGGTCCCACAACATCTTAGTCATATGTTCACAGCAGCACACCCTGTACTAATCCATTTAGTCTATTTTACTGTTATATTTACAGTATCTGAAAACTTTTCTCCTGCAGCAGTACAGCATCCTCTCCTGTTCCTGGGAATCACAACCCATAGGCTGTGTAAGGATCACTTGTGCCTGCCATCATAGCAAACCTTGTCATATAAATGGACTTTTTTTGCCATTGTAAGACTGAGTAAAAATATTTTCTCAACAATTTGTTCATGAGAGTAAGTAAATACAGGAAAGTGTCCTGCCAGTGCTTGCTTCCAGTGCTTATGGAATATATACGAAGGTCAAGAAATGCACCATGACAAATCCATCAGGTCTGCTCTGCTAGCCCAGCAAATTGAAGGCAAAGAAAGGACTTGTATTGGCAGTTGAACAGGGTTGCCACATGGATTTTTTTAGCTGTCATGTTACAAATCATTAACTATCAGTGACATGAAAGATTGAGTCACAAACGGCAGTTTAGGTTGCTGAGATCCATGGAGTAAAACTGTTCGTTACTTGGCTACTTGCTCGATTCCATCTCTCCAGTAGTGAATATGGTGAGTAGTCAGCTAATAATTTAAGAGAAATGGAGCGTGTGTGGTGGGGAGAGGAGGTTGGGAGGGCCACCAGTAGCAATATTTGATGACAGAGCACAACACGTTCTATGGATGAGACACCCCTTGTATAGAGAACATCAGATTACAGTGCTGTGTGTGCAGGTGTCTTTCCAGGTCATGGTTTTGAATACATTTTTCTGGCTTGAACATTGGCTGCAGGCTACTGAAGTACAGTAATACTGTACTAAAGTAGAGCAATAGTTTGCCAGGCAGTCCAACAGCTGAAAACCACATTACTCATGGGAAAAAACACCATTGTAAGCTGGGTTTTTTTCTGGAGTCCTAAGAGGAGCTCTTGTCTTTCAGGAGTCCTGGTAGACAGCTGGAACCTGGAACAGAGGAAGAGTCCAGGGCAGGGGACCAAGACAAATGTCAGAAATTGGGCAGAAGCAGAAGCGAGAGCAAGTCAGCATTGACTTGTCAGAGATACATAAACAAGTGGGCTAAAATAGACTTAGTTGTTCATGGGTCTTATTTCCAGAGCTGGAGACAGGTGTTGGAAGAGGTGGCCAGGAAGACCTCTAGTCAGAAGCAAACACCTTGTGTTCTGGAAATTCCCCCATGAAAAGGTAGCCTGTCCTAGCTGGGCATGCTGAGCCTAACCAACCCCAGAGGACCAAGGAAGACCTTCAGTGCTGCTTCTACGAGTGCCCAGGCTGCTTTTAATACAGGTCCCACATCTCCAGCATCGGCCCCCGGCAGCCAGTGCTGTTGTGAACACCTCGTAGGCACGCTTTCGTGTGGGCTGTGAGCCAGAGACTCTGCCCAAGAGGCACTATGAACGAGGGCATCTTGTGTGAGAGCAACATCCAACAGTTAGAACTAGAACATGGACCCAATGCTGTTTCTTTCCACTGCAATATGTGTAATTTCAAAGTCCACGTGCTCCACAGTAACATTGCCAATACTAAAATGGCATTTATTCAATTTAATACTCAGAAATCTTGTTAAACTAATTTAAGTTTGATTTGGCTTACACCACCCTAGTCTGGACAGTGAAAAAGGCTCTATCAAGTTAAAGTGTTCTATCTTACTTTCTCTTTCATGAGATACAACAAATCTCATCTGCAGTACTGTTATTACAATGGGTTTAATATGACACACATGCTGCTCATAGGCAAACAAGAGATGCATAAGAGTAACAACTGGAATAAAAGGAAATGCCCATGCTGCATCTTATTTAAAACTGGAAAAAGTACCCAGCTTCAGGTTTTTTAATATAATGCACAGGATCCCGACTGTATCTATAGTTGCAAATTGGTCCGCTTGAACGAAAGAGAGACTCACCATTTTTCATCACTTTTATTTTCAGTCAGTTGCATCTCCTAGCTCTCAGAAAATGCTACCCCAGAACTACAATAGTTTTGCTGCAAATATTATGGGTACATATAAATTCCTAAGGAAAGGAATCTCTTTTCTGATTTTCTTCAGTTATTCTTAATCAAGAGAATGTTTTACCACCAATTCACCCTCCACTGATTATAAACCTCAACAACGAAGAGGATGAACAGAACGATGACGAGGAAGAGAACTGTATGTTTTTTTCTTTTCTTTACAAGGAAGTAGAATGGGTTTTGTCAATCCTTGTGTGTACTTCACAACTGGTTTATTATAATAACCATTACATTTTTAGAAGAGTTGTTGACAAGTTTTTGAAACTGCTATCTTCAAAATACTGGAAGTCACCAGATGTGAGTGAGGCAACATTTTCTCACTGCTGTGAAAAGCCTAGCTGTATCTTTCAATAGTGGTGTAATTCACATACCCCTTTTTTGTTAAGAGTTTAAACTGTGATTCATGGTTCAGATGGCCATCCAATACTCTTCTGAATTTCTCAAAATTCGGGGATGAAATTACTAGTGTAACTGAGGGTCTATGTGTACGAATTTATATACATATTTAAAAATTTTTTTCAATGTAGTTAAACTGTTGACTGTTATCTCACTTAGAGCTGAGCAATTCATAAGGAAGGAATGACTTCTGCATTCCCAGAGAGTAAGAGAACACGTGCACTCCACACAGTACTGTGCTAGTTCTCGGGCAGCCCCAACGTGCTTTTCCCTTTCCCCTGTCCTTCAGGTTGGCTGGCGAGGCCACCTGTTAGTGCTTCTTAACTCAGTTTCAGTCCGAGTAAGCCACATTAACTTAACACAATGTAAAAAGTAGGGCTTTGCTGATCTTAGTAGCCTTAACTGAGACAAGACAAGGAGCACTCACTTTGTCAGCTCTGATGGCAGACATTACAGGATAGTGACTCTGGGCAGAGATTTGTGACAAGCACTCACTCCCTGGTGACATGCTTCATCAGAAGATTTCTTTTTGGGTGTAAATAAAGGATTATTTTGAAAATGAGTACTGATGATGTTTTTTAATCATTTTAAATCAACAAACACTACCTTCTTAATATGTGTTGTAACTGCACTTGGAAATACATAGTATTAAGGACACATTTTCTGTCCAGAAGCAGAGGTTGCAAAGAAAGAAAAACCAACCCGTGACTGAGAAGAAATTCACTATGGTATTTGATTATTAAGAATTGTAGGTAGTCTTTGTATAGCTATCCAGTAATCTTTCAAAAATATTTCCTACAGGTATTCCTAGTTGGGTGCCTAAGACTGCTGCAGATATTGAAGAAGAAAGAGCAATAAAGGAAATACAGTATAAATCTGGTAAATATGAAATTAGTCAAAAAATTTTCCAAAACAGCAATCCTGCCAATATAGCAAACTTTGGGATTTTTTTCCCCTCTTGGGCTATGTTTAGGAGAGTATTACGGGATTCAGTACCCTCACGAACACCCATCAAGAAAAAGTGTATCTTCACCTCAGGAAAATGAGCTATTACCCTTGGAAGCTACCAAACAACACCTGCAGAAAGACAAGTACTTTTTGTGTTCTTGGACAATGTTTAGCACTTTTCAAATTACTGTTACAGGGAGAAAATATGATGTACTTTGCCCTTCCTCCCCCTTTTTTAATTTAGTGACAATGAAAGACAGCATATGACAAAGAGCATAAAAATACTTCTTTCCCACAGATATAGACATATATATAGTGTCACAAACGTGGTGATGATCTGCATTGATTGTAGATGAAAAAGGCAGAAATGGGCTATTCACCCTATGTCTACTTTCCTAAGATACACGACAGAGGTCTTTCATATGGTTTTTCTTCACCATCAAGATTTATGTAGTCGAATTTCAACCATCCTAAGATTAGCAATATAGTTTACATTTCTCACCTAGGCTTTTTAAAAAAGGAAGTATGTGTTATTTTAATTCCTCAGAAACAAACTACACTGAGCTGGTAAAGAACCATCACTGTAAAGAAGGAAAGAAGAAGAAATGTATTTTTGAGCCAGTAAGTTCACTTAGTAACAGTAGCAGCCAAAGTTATTTTGAGGAAACAGTTGGCTTATTCACTTTTATTCACTAACCGTTAGGTGATTTAGCAGTACCTAGTTCATTTCTGTTTTTAGTGCCAAGTATGGACAGTCCATATTTGGATTGGGCTATCCACAAAACGTATTTTTTTACTCTCGTCTTCCAGCCTCCAGTCACCTGCAATATGCCAAATTTCAAGTAATAGCACATTATTAAGTTTGTTTTTTCACTTTTAGGAATTAGCACGTCAGACCCCAAGTAAAACCAAGTTACCGACAAAGGGGTCAAAGGAAAGATGATGAAACTGCTTCTTCTATTCCTTCTGTGAGAGAAACTGGAAGAAAGACGTGTTTCTATTCTCTAGAACCTCAAAGATCAGCATATGTAGTATACTGTACTGCCACCATCACTCAAGAATCAAAGCTTAATGATCTACTCACACAGTAGGGTTCCTGCTCACACAGGGTTCTTAAAATGCCTCAAATAGGCCTGTCTGTATCGTGCTGTGTTCCATTTGGTCCCTGCAGGTGAATATTCAGTTATTTATGCCTCAATATGGGCAAGAGTAAATTTGATCCAGCATAATTTTCACAAGTAGATTGCAGCAGTATCCACAGACAGAAATGTAAAGCTTTATGAAGCTTTACAATTAGTCAGACAGAATATTCATGAACACTAATTTAGCCACCTTCATAGCAGAATTCCTTTCTTTTCCCAACAGAGGAACGAATGCAATGATGTGCTGTGTACATGTTTTTTCTATGGACAAACGTACTTCAGGATCTTATAATGCACCAACTGGGAGGTAAAGAAATCCACATGCAAAAACGTTCTCAAAGTTTAAAACCACTACTCAGGTAACTGTTTGATAAGAGTTTTTTTAAAATTCAGTCTTTTTCATAAAAGCAACATGTCTCTCCCCACCTAGACAATGTCAAAGTGCTCTTAAAAGAACCAAAACCCACAAGATTCTAAGCAATGCTGAGCGGTCTGAAAGAGTAGTTAATAGTTTCGTTTGTTTGCAGACATGTTATTTTGCCTGTATAACTAACCCGTGACTTCTCATTTTTTACAGTATTCCTGATAAGAAAGCAAACGACGTACCTGCCTTGAAAGGAAGGAGCTACCACAAGTGGGTTTTGGCTTGTAGCACCGGACACAGCACAGTAGAGATGACAGGAGTGTGATCTATCTGTCGCTCTGTTTGATTGCTCGTGAAGCGTCTGCAAGAACTGAACATCATCAGCCCAGGTCCAAATTCATAAAAAGCCTCAGGCTACAAAACATTCACAAGATACCCTAAGGACCATCAATACATTTTACAGCTGTCTTGAAAGCAGAGATTAGAAACTCTATCTCGCGTCCCTTAGATGAACGGCCAAACCTTTAGTCTGCAGTCTGTGCTTCAGAGTGACATTTCCTTCTTATCTCCCAACTCTGTGTCCCCCACAGACGTAACCGGGACTTCGCTCTGCAGTTGCACAGTTCAAAATCACACAGTTGGAGTGTCCCTGTAGTCCTTGCAAACTCAGCCTTCTAGCTTGCTATGGAAGTGCTTCCCTGAAAGGGAAAAGAGCCAACTTTGAACCCTGCTGAGCACTGACCTTTCTTGGGTGAATCCTTTTACTGCTACTCTATGTTTCACAAGATGGTCAGTAACACTTTCTCTGAGTGGCCTCGTTTATCGGAGAGTACGAGCCTGCTCTAGGAGACGAGTCCGAAGCAGTTGGCTCTAGAAAAGTGCGACTTTGTGGTTTTGTGTTTCAAAGCCCCTGGAGAAGGCCCATCTGTCAGCATTCCTAGGAGTTTACCCAGGGCAATTCCATACTCAGCGTTTTGATTCCAGTCTGAGATGCGAATTCTCTTGAGGCACCACAGAGATGCAATGCACCTCCAACCACCTTCTGAAATCCCTCACCAGGCTTGCTACCGTATTGGGTTTCTTGCTGTAAGTACCACATGGTTCTCAAACATCTGCTTGGGAAGGTTTTAGAGGAAAAATTCTTGAACAAACATCTTGAAACATGAGTGAATTGTATTAGGATGAAGTATTTTTTTTCTGTTGCTTCTGGAAGTACAGAATGTTTACTTAAAATGTTTCTGAAAGAGCATATAGTTTGACTCTAATAAACTGTGCAAAAAATGTTGTTTATCTATTTTGACAGCAGAGCCAAGAAGACATGTCAGTGAATAGAAAAGGAGAACGCTATGTAGAGAGGAGAAAGAGATGAAGCGAGAGTGTCAATTTACAAGAAAAATCTAAATTGAAATAAGGAAATTATCAACTGGAAAATCCAAAGATGATAAAATAGCACATTTTAAAAGAAAGATGCAGGAAGTACACTGTAACATTTCAAAACCGATAAAAATGGAAATTAAAAACTATGTTCCATATGGTCATATATAAAGGCCTTCAACATATTCACCAAGTTTAATCTGCTACAAAAATCTGGCATTTGCAATGATTTTTACAGACTATGTTTTAAGGCATAATTCCTAATATGATTAAATACTATTAGTTTTACTTAGCAGTTTCAGATGACTTTCAATGTAAACAGATAGTAATGAATTCTAGAAAGTAGCTGTTCTGGTGTGAAAGCCAGATTCTTAGATGGTTTAGCTGTTTGCCAGATGTTTGGGGGCTCAATCTGAGTTTGATCTTGAGATTTTGTCATTTTAGCAGGGGAGCAGAACTGTGTTATGAACTAAATGAACTTCACAACAAAACTTTTAGAATTAACTACGTTTTTACACACATTTTAAACTAAAGTGTGAAAGACTGGGTAAAGACTGAGAGGAAGACTGATGAGAAGGATACTTTAACAGGGCTTTCTGAAAAAACAAACCTCATACTGAATTGTTACATGTATGTGAATTTATGTCTCTCTGTCTCAGACATCTTTCCATTTTTGCATTTACCTGACCTTTGGTCATTCTTAGAACATGACCAGTTCTGGAGGTCTGGAGGAGAGCTCTTCAAACTTCTTTAACACTGGGATCCAGCAATTCCCTCGGTGGCACCCGTAACTATGAGTATAAAAGCATTTTGCTTCCTTGGAGCCTTTTCTTCATTGTGACTGTTTAGAACATGAGGATGGATCAGATACCTTCCAGGGTGCCTTCTAGCTGAAATCATACTATCTTTCTATGAGAAATATACATTTCTCTATCCTACTTTATTGAGAATAGCTTGCATAAACCTTGGGTGGTAATGGTGTGATTTTTATTCTATTCAGAAATCTGATTTTTAATAATTTAAACTTAAAAAATGCTGTAGTGATTATAAACATGTATGCAGTTGGGCATCATTTTCCTTAACTGAGAGACGAATAGAAAAACTTAGAGTATCCGGTGTAGCTGAGGGTTATAAAACGTAAAAAAACCAGCCAACAAACATCTTTTTAAAACCAAGGACTAAGTGTATTGAAAATATTTCCCCCTCTCCAACTAGACAATGGAGTTTCAAATAGTAGCACATGATGCCTTGCGGCAAGATTTTTTACGGTCTCTGCCTGAGGCTATTTAAAATCTTAATTCAGAGGGATATTGCGTCCAGTTATTTTTTAGCATCTTGAAAAATGCTTTTAATCTCATTTTTTCCATGTAAAAGAAATGAACATTTTACATTTACTAATTGTTCAATGTCTTTATAATTTAGAGTATTACATTTGACAGGTCCATAAATTGAGCAGGGGTAAATGTTGGTATTCTGGTCTGATTTCTGCATTCTGTTAAAAATGATTTCAGTATTTAATTTTTGGAACTGTTTGGTACTGTTACTCTATAGATGTACAGATGCCATGCCACGCTGCATGTACAGCCTGCTGCATTGTGCCATGCAGATGCCTTGCCCGCAAGACAACCTCAGCCACCTCCTTGGAGCAGGGGAGCCTGCAAGCAGCTCCCACTTGGTACTGGTGACTGCACCTCCTGCCTGGCCTCACCTTTATCTAACGGTGCAGTGAGAAATTGTTCTCAGGTGAACATCCTTTTTATTTGACAGTAGAAATGAGGAATAGAGTTGGCTTCTGTAGGAAAATCCTGTAAGAGCTCAAATGACCAAAATGGGTAACTCTTCCACAGACAGGATCTGCATAGTTTGCTGGGCTGTGGTTGGAGGCCCATTCGATGCTGCACAGCTTGGGGTTCCCAGCATCTGAAGGGTCATATGGTTACCTATACCATCCTCCTTTTCTTTTTGGTGTCATCTCAAAGAAACAGCATCTTAAGAGATGCTTTATAGAATCTGAGTGCCTTTCCGACTGGGATCATAAAGAACTAGCACCTCCTGGTGCAATTTAACCCACCTCCCCACCCTGAAAAGCCAAGCCAACAAAACAAAGCCAAAAGAAAATAGTTTTCTAGTATCTTAACATACCAATATTCCCAGCAGGGGGTCAGGTTAAGCATCAGGTCCAGCTCAAAGGAAAGACAAAGAAATGCAGGAGGAGAAGGACATGGCCATGAGGGCAATACTTGGCTGATCCTGGATTGTTGTGGAAGCACGACGACTATCCATTATCTCTTCCCTTTTCACTGGAGCTTCCTGAAGAGAAATTACAAATACTGCTCTGTCAGTCATCACTCACTCAACCCAGCAAGTCACAGATATCAAGAAATACCTTATCATTGTACAATAAATACATGGCTCAACGTGGTATTAACAGTTCCTGTAAGGTGTTAATTACTCTTGATGGTAATCAGAGAAATGGAAAGGGATCAACGCTTTCTGTGATCAAATCCTTTTTGAACATTTCCTTTTCACAGCTTCAAAGGCACTAAGATCCACAAAAAGAAGGAAAGTATGTGCTTGTTTTCCAGATCACAAATGCACCCCCTATTACACCTTCATCCCCTTCTGCTTGGTTGTCTCTGTCACTAAGGCCCCAAAGAGGAGCCAAAGCAAATGGAGGATCTGCAGCATTCTGTGCAGTCAGGCTCTGAAGGTGGCATTGCGGTGTTTTCACATACTCGCTGCATGACATATCCTCCACACTGGTTACAACTACTAGTACTTGAAAAGAAGTCCTGAAATAATGAGCCAAAGATCAGAGGTAGAGGGCTACTGAAGGAGAGCTGAACTTGCCCTGCTATTATATATGCATGTCCATAATCTGCTGCTGAATTGAAAGGCCCATGGGAAAGAAATGATTTGTCGCTTTCACCTCATACATGTTAAAATATGCTAATGTTTTTCCAGATGGTACTTCTAAAAGCACATCAAACATCTAGTGTAGGTGAATCATATTAGACAGTAAGCAGATTAACAGTGGCACCACCTGTATTTTATTAAAAGTTTGGAAAGCTTCCAGCCTGAGATCCTGCATTCCTGAAAAAACTTGTACGGCTAAATTAAAATCACTAACTCCCTGCATCTTAGCAGCACTGATGTTTTAAATACACTTTATTAATTAAGGTAGCAAAGTCATGGTAAGTCAACACCCAAGTGAGAAAAAAAATGGGTGGTTGTAAAATAAAAAGTGAACAGAATTTCCCTGGGAATTGCAGATATTGCTTAAAAGAAGGATTTTGACAATTTCCTCCTAATGAAGATATTTGCTGACAAAAGGCCCCTTCTACAGCAATACTTCATGTAAATATATGTATGTATTAAAAAAAAAGCAGCAGCGTCTGTAAGTTATTTAACTGGCTCTGCAGTCACTAGGGGTCAGTGCAGTAACAGGAATGGGCTTGAACAACGCCCAGCAACGAATCTTCACTAGCTGCGCTTGATTCCAACCCTACCGAGCTGAAGCCTCTCCGCAGGGTTCTGCAACGGCTTTAAAATAAGAGAAAAGGGCCTTATAGACATGTTATGCTTCCTAATGGCTAACGTGGGGAGAGGTACAACCACTTG